TTTCTTCGTTAACAAGTGCCGAAAGGCGGCATGATCCGAGAAGACTATGACCTTGGAACCTAGAAGATAGGAGCGGAATTTATCCAAGGCATAAACTACAGCTTGCAACTCTTTTTCAGTAGTGATGTAATTTAATTGAGCATCAGAAAGAGTTCGACTAGCATAATAAATGATGTATGGGAGCTTGTCCACACGTTGGCCCAAAACCTCGCCTAATGCATAGTCGGATGCATCACACATGATCTCAAAAAGAAGAGACCAATTGGGCGGTTTTATTATTGGGGCAAATGAGAGGAGAGTGCGAAGTTTAATGAAAGCTTCCATGCAAGCTTCATCAAAATTGAATGGAACATCCTTGGCTAAGAGATTACACAAGGGCCGAGAAATTTTGCTAAAGTCCTTGATGAAGCGACGATAAAATCCGGCATGGCCAAGAAAGGAACGGATTTGACGGACGGAATTCGGAGGAGGAAAATTAGAGATTAACTCAACTTTTGCATTGTCCACCTCAATTCCCCGTTTCGAAATGACATGTCCTAGAACAATGCCTTCTTGGACCATGAAGTGGCTTTTCTCCTAACTTAGAATGAGATTTGTCTCCTTATACCTTTGGAGCACAAGAGATAAATTTTTGAGACAAGAATCAAAGGAGGAGCCAAAGACAGAAAAATCGTCCATGAAAACTTCCAAGAATTTTTCAACCATATTGGAAAATATGGACATCATGCACCTTTGAAACGTTGCTGGACCATTGCATAGCCCAAAAGGCATGCGACGATATGCAAAGGTTCTAAAGGGACATGTGAATGTTGTTTTCTCTTGATCTTGGGGGGCGATTGCCACTTGGTTATAGCCGGAATAACCGTCAAGAAAACAATAATAGCTTTGGCCGACTAGCCTTTCTAGGATTTGATTAATAAATGGGAGTGAAAAATGATCTTTCCTAGTTGACGAATTGAGCTTCCGGTAGTCAATGCACACACGCCACCCGGTGGTGGTTCGTTGCGGCACGAGCTCACCCGCTGAATTTTCAACAACAGTGAGACCGGATTTCTTGGGAACAACTTGCGTGGGGCTTCCCCACTTGCTATCAGAGATGGGGTAGATGATTCTTGCATCTAACAATTTTATCACTTCCTTCATGTGAGGATTTAACCGGCGCTGAACCTCTCTAGTAGGCTTTGCGTCCTCCTCCATATGAATGCGGTGCATACAAATGGAGGGGTCAATTCGTTTCAAGTCAGCCACTGCCCAACCAATAGCTTCTTTGTGCTCTTATAGCACCGCTAAAAGGTTGGTTTCGTGGTCCTTTAGAAGGTCCGATGCAATGATGACCGGGAGAGTTTGATTTGAACCAAGGAATACATACTTGAGATGGGCCGGGAGTGGCTTAAGCTCAAGTTATGGTGGAGATTTCAGAGATGGAACCGGAGGAGTGGTGGAGAGCTGAGGAAGTAGCTCTTTTGGAATTTTCCAAGGGGGAATGTCCATGATAGCAGCAACATCAAGCAGAGAATTAACTTCTTGGATAGATTGATCAATGTCAAAGTTTGAGAAGTCGAAATGAGACATGCAAGTTTCAAAGGGGTCTTTGCTTAAAATAAAGGGGAGAGATTCTTCGACCACTTCATCAATGACATCAACAAGGAAACAATCATCATCATTGGAAGGATGTTGAGTTGCATGAAAGATATGGAGTTTAACTTGCATGTTTCCAAAAGCAATGTCCATTACCCTGGTTCGGCAATTAATTTATGCATTAGCTGTAGCTAAGAATGGCCTACCAAGGATAACGGGAATGTGCTTTTTTGGATCATGGACCGGTTTCGTGTCAAGAACCACAAAGTCTACCGGGAAGTAAAATTTGTCCACTTGGATGATAACATCTTCAAGAATGCCTCGCGGATGCTTAACCGATCTATCGGCAAGTGGCAAAACCACGGAAGTCGGCTTTAGATCTCCCAAACTAAGCTGTAAGTAAACTGAGTATGGAATTAAATTCACACTAGCTCCTAAGTCAAGGAGGGCCCTCTCGATTTCGTTGTCACCAATGACACAAGAGATTGTAGGGGCACCCGGATCTTTATACTTTGGAGGAGTGCTGTGCTGAATGATAGCACTAACATTTTCAGTTAACCTCACTTTCTTTGGCAAATGATTTTTAGAAGTACGCTTTGGGGTGCATAAGTCTTTGAGAAATTTTGCATAGGGAAGGATTTGCTTGATAGCATCCAAGAGGGGCAAGTTGATCTTCACTTGCTTAAAAACTTCCCACATGTCTTGAATTTTACAATTCTTGTTCCCAATATGTGTTGACTCTTGAAGACGTTGAGGAAACGGAGCTTTTGGCTTATAAGTAGTTTCCACATTTGGGTTAACATGTGTGGGATTTTCGTGAATGGTATTTGGATGAGAAGAGCTTGGAATTTGATTGGAAGAGCTTGAATTTGGATTTTTCAAAGGAGGTTTTTTTTCATTTTTGTCTCCATCAACCTTGTTGTCAACCACTCTACCACTCCTAAGGGTGGTGATTGCTTGAACATGCTCATGACTCGGCCCACTCGATGGAGGGGTTTCATCAATCGCATGCATCCCTCTAGGATTTTCAAATGGTTGAGCGGGAAGCTTACCTTTATCCTTTTAAAGCAATTGGTTCACAGAGTTAGCTATTTGGCCCACTTGATTTTCGAGCTTAGCTATGGATTGAGTATGAGAGTGAACCATTTGAAGAGTAGGCTGCAAAGATGTCAAGAGTTGCTTGTTGGAATCCATAATTTACTTGTTTAATGATTCCATCATTTGCTTGTTTGCAGCCACAATTTCATCAGTTGGGTACACCGGAGGTTGATTGGAGACATTTGGATTGTATGGAGGACGGTAGCTTGAAGAGGTTGGAAATTGCCTATTTGGAAATTAAGGAGGGGGCTGATTTTGATGCCCCGGATTTTGGAATTGCGAATTTTGTGGGGCTTGTTGCCTCCATGAGAAATTCGGGTGATCTCGCCAACCCGGATTGTAGGTATTGGAATATGAATTATTCCCGGATCTTGAGAACATGGCATTAGCTTGCTCTTGATTTGGATTGGAAAATTGCTCCGGTGTGGGGCAATCTTCCGTGAGATGGAATGGACTAGTACATGATGAGCACACCGAACTTGCCAAATATTGAGATAATGAAGGAGAGAGATGTGGTGCCATCAATTGATAGAATTTATGAGCTATGGCATCCACTTGAGATGATTCCTCCCTTATGGATTTTGGTTGACAAGGGTTAGTTTTCTTTGCATTGGTTGAGGTCGGAGCCCTACGAGAATTATGTTGAAGTGAATTTTTGCTTAAATTCTCCAGTTTGGTCCAAGCCTCATCCGCATTCTTGGACATGAACATCCCACCACAAGAAGAGTCAACCATGAATCTATGGGGTTCGGTCAAGCCAGCATAGAAAGCTTGCACTAATTGCTATTTTGGAATCAAATGATGCGGACATTTTCTAAGAAGATCTTGTAGCCTTTCCCAAGTCTTGTGGAGTTGTTCTCCATCCATTTGAGAAAAACTAAGAATGAAACGCCTCATTTGGTTGGTTTTACTCATCGGATAATACTTCTTAAGGAATTCTTGTTGTAATTGAGCCCAAGAAATGATGGAATTTGGAGTGAGTGAGTTCAACCAATACTTTGCCCTATCTTTTAAAGAAAATGGGAAAAGATGTAGATGGAGTGCATTCTTAGGGAAACCTCTCAACCGGACGGTCGAACAGATTTCAAGGAATTCATCAAGATGCTTATACGGATCTTCATTATCAAGGCCATAGAAAGATGGAAGCATTTAAATGGTACTTGATTTGATCTCATATTGAACCGCATCGATATTTGGCATCACTATGCATGAAGGTGAAGCATAGGTAGTAGGGATGAAATGGTCCCTAAGAGTCATTGGCTCTACATTTGGAATTTCGGCCCTATCATTATTAATTCCCTTATTTCTGACATCTCCTACATTTTTAGCCATTGTGTTAAATTCAGTTTCAAGTTCTCTTACGCTAGAAGATTCCCTAAGGTTTCGTCTAAGAGTTCTTTCAAGTGAATTTATGTCAACTGGCGAGTCAAGAGTTGGTAGAGAGAGTGATCTATGGCCAAACATCAACAATACATAATGCTATCAACGCAACTATTCATCATTCACAACTCCACATACGATGTTCCCATTCTCCTCAATTATCAAGACAGAATTTAAATGGCCACGACAAGTACCGATGCTTGTACACGAAATTTAAACAAGATAATAGCCTTAACAAAGGCTTCAAAACTAAATTATCACTAAATTTAACACATGCACAATATTCACAATGTCGAAACTAGAAGGTCAAGAGATTTACCTGGGGTCCTCTAGACTTAAAAATTAGTTAGCTTTCCCTCGGAGAGTTTCGAGTCCCTATAATCTCACTTACAACACAAGATGGTCAAACTACACAAGAAATATTCACAATTCACAATATTGACAACCAAACCAAAATTAACCCTAGCACTTCGGTTGCTAAACCGTTTGCAGTCCCCGGTAACGGTGCCAAAAATTGATCGGTTGTCAATTATACATCAACCTTCGCAATAGCACGAATCATTGTAAAATAGGGTTATTGGTTGGGTAAGTCGAACCACTAGGACTGCGCTAATCTATGGCAACCTAAGTGTCTAGAGTCTTTTTAAAATGATACGGGTGTTCATAGAGGATTTGTTGGTTATCACTTAAGCTTATGAAATTAAGATGCATAAAATAAAAGCTTGCAAGAATTTAAATGAGATGAAATACAAGTAAAGAGGACTAGGGAAGTGAATCCGCCTCTATCCTTATACACATGCCAGATTAGAGCTAAATTGGGGAAAAACAATATATAATGGTCAAGAAATATATAGCAACACATCGTTGCCATATAATCAACAAGATGTACATTAAATCTCAAGCAAGCATGATCCATCAAAGGTGAACATGTTTAGACTACCTAACTAAGGACAATTGGACTTATAATGTCCAAGCTGCTGACACTGAAAGCAAACAACTCCACTCTTATCCGACCCAACTAGCATAGAAGTGGTAGGAGCGGATCGTGCAGACTGATGCCCCTGAAACTGAGATAAACCACCCCTGTTCCTCTTCCATAAAGGTCCCTCTGAAGATGACCCTGCATTCCTCTTTTGCTTCCACTGTTCCCTTTTTGCATCTTTATCTTTGACCTCCGCCTCTAACATCAATGCTCTTTCCACTGCCTCAGAATAAACCTTGATGCCCTGTGTTATTAACAACGGCCTCATCTTGTAGTCAAATCCGGAGACAAACTTCCGAACCTCATTAACTTCATTACTCACCATCTCTGGAGCAAAGCGAGAGAGTGAGGTGAACTTGTTCTCGTTCTCTTTCATCGACATATTGCATTGGATAAGGCCAATAAACTGATCCTTTAACTCCCACCTCTTAGGAGCAGGGAAATACTTCTCATAGAACAGCTCCTTGAACCTATACCAATTCATCTCTTCAATCTTATACTGATTTGTGACCGACTTCCACCAAAACTTTGCATCCTTTGAAAACTTGTAAGTGGCTAGGATGATTTTCAAGTGATCATCCGTCACATCCATAGAAATCAATTGAGTTTCAACTTGATCCATATAGTCATCCGCTACCATAGGATCTGCACCACCTTCAAACATTACCGGCATCAACTTAGAAAATCTAGAAATCAACTTGAGACGCTTCTGTGTTGGCGTCTCCTCAACTTAAGCTATAGGTTGTAGTACTGGTTGAGATACCGACTGCGGATGAGAAATAGTTGTGGCCATTAAGACCTTTTGCAATAAACGATTCAATGCAAGTTCCGCCAAACTTTCACCCCCTTCAATGAGTGTTTCAACATTATGCCTCCCTACAGGAACAACTCTTGGGGCAATCAAATCCCTAAGAAGTATGTCCTCATCAACTGGCTCCACTGGATTGGAGCTAGAGCTCTCTCCAACATCACCCCTTGTTGGCCTAGGGCCAACTTCCCTTGGTTCCTCATGCCATGACATCGTTCTATAAAACAAAGAAAACGGTTTAATAACGATAACACTAAGGTCCAACCATGAACAACTCAACACAAAAGGATACTATACTAACACTTAGCATACAAAACTATGCAATGAACACATTAATATAAGCATATAAGCACATAAGTACATAAACAAGTAAACAATTAAGCATGTTTTTTCATATACCAAAACACTTTAACAATTAATCACATAAACTATGCAGATGACTTCCCATGCAACCCTATGTAGGCCTCTACCCGTCGTCCTAATGTTTTCGAACCATCGCTCTGATACCAAATTTGTAACGACTCTAAACCGATACCATTTAAAAAAATTCAGCATGACCTTTGCTAAAAAGGGGCTTACAACAATCTGCTAAAAAAAAAAAAAAAAAAAAAAAAAAATCAATGCAATGGCCTTTCTTGGCTTATCCAACCTGTCTCAACATACAATACAAAAAAAAATTATAATATATTCCCCAATACCACAATATCAACAACCTCCCCAAGTTAGCCCATCATTGTCATCCCATTCAACTTAAGCATTTACATAGTCTCGCTTCCTTTCAAAATACCAACAAGAGTAATGATTTATAATACATGACCTTAGCTTGCAAAAATGAATACACAACATTCTAGTTTTGAGACTATACAAAAAAAAAAGAAAAAAAAAGAAAAAAAAAAGGATAAGATACAAAAGATAACAAAATACAACTCTTAATCTTCTTCAAGCTTGCGGGGGATTGTCATCCGCCACTTCTTTTCCGAGCCCTGAAAAATGTTAAATAATAAGGTGAGCATAAAGCTCAGTAGGTAGTGCGTAAGACGCACCTCTTGTGACCCCGTGAACCCAAATAATGAATAGGACAATAGGGAGAGGGGTCATGCTAAACTGAGGAAAATATAATGTAAATCTGCAAGTTCAAAACAAATGAATGTCGTGCCATGAATGCAATGTCATGCATGTCACTCCCCATTTTTAGAAAACTTCCATCACTTCATAAACTGTTAATATAACGCCCTTTGGTGACTCTGCAGCGACACGAGAGAAGGATTGACTATTGACCCTAACCTTTGGTACCTCCGCAACGTCATTTGAGGGTTAGATAGCTCAACCACGCTAAGGCAATCTCCCTAGTTCCCTCTAGGCTATATTAACACACCGGCCCTTGGTGACTCTGCGGCGACCGAGTTTTCTCAAAACCGTTTCATCAAATTCTCCCAAAAAATTCCCCTTTTCATTCTTATCAAATCATTGTACCCTTTTCCATACCCATGCTATGAATGCATATCACATGTCTTTTTAATACTATGGAAATGGAGAAAATTATTATCACACAATTAGCATACTTCCACATAAAATTTTCAATAAATTATTAAGCATCGTAGCCATGAAAAAATTAACATATTAAGCATACTTTACAATAATTCTAAGAAAATTTTCATAAGCTTCCATGTATCATTTTTTAGCAATTTTGTCAACACAATAACATAAAGAAATTAATAATGAAGCATATTTCTTATACAAATCAACAATTACACATATAGTCATGAACTTTACACCCACAAGAAAATCATTCTAGAGGTAATTAATTTCAATTAAGCATGTTGGCATCAAATAACAAGAATTCACTCACAAAGGAATAAGAAAATGCAAATTAAAGACCCCAGCCTCAATTTTATGCAAAACCCCCAATTTCTTCACCTCAAACCCTAGGATTTCGAATTTTCTATGGTGCACCAACCAAGGAATTGCTCCTATCAACTTGTAGATCTCGTCGTGGGCTTTGAATAGCCGTAAATGGCTATTAAAAACACTAAGTATGGAAGGAGAAATCAAGAAGTGAAGATTGAAACAAAAAAAAAAAAAAAAAAAAAAAGAAGTTTCTAAAACGAGTGAGAGATGCTTATGAGAAATGAGAGAAAAATGAAAACAAAAGTGTCTCATGACCATTTTAAGTGCTTGTGCGTCCCACCCATTTTCTTTTTTTATTTTCCTTTTTCTTTTTGTTTTTAACTTACACCACATACATATATATATATATATATATATATATATATATATATATATATATATATATATATATATATAAACTTAAACATTACAAGAAAAGCCCCAAATTTCTCAACACTAAGCCCTAATTGCGAAATCTCAAGGTTGGCTAAAACGGTGCTTGGCTCCTATCAAATCGAAGACCTTGACGAGCTCTACAACTTTGCCAAAGGAAGTACTACCAAATTCCAAATGGTTTGCTCACAATCAAGGCTTAAATGAAGATGAGGAGAGATAGAGAAGCTGCCAGGAGAAGGAGGAAGAAATGACACTCTTGGCTACTAACATAAAGTGAGTGGGGAGTGGGCCCCATCACTAACTCAAAAATATCCTACTTTTCCATTATATATATATATATATGAATTTAATTAATCCCAACCACACATTTAATCCACAACAATACAATTATACACAAAATAAATATGTATGATATGCAGTGGACCCGTGACACAATCTCCCTGCACAACAAATCCGGTAGCGGGTCCCACCCGAGACCGTCCTACCCGAAAAAAGAAAAAATGCCGAAATGACAACCGGTGCATTTTCAAGAGTCCTGAACTCAATGAAATGCCCCAACCAACTCTCAAACACACCCGACACACCCCACGGTGTCCGGCACACAAAACGAAAAAAGATGAAAATGCCCTTGCAAAACAAAAATTCCAGAAAAACGAAAATTGGTGAAAAATAGGAACATTACAATAACTTTCTTCCACTTTCACAATTACCTATACATTAAGTTTGGTTTGGATTGAGTTATTTGGAGGGATTTGGAAAATAATAATAATAATAATAATTATAGAAATCATGTTTGGATAGCTTTTAGTGAAGAGAAAAGAAGAGATTGGGTGAGATTTAGAGGGACAGCTCTTATGTGTTATCCTCTTAAAATTGAGAAGATTTGGACAGAAAAAATAGTGAATAAGTAGTATTTTCATAATACTAAAACTAGACTCTTACAACATTTCACTCCTAACTAATAATATTTTATAAAAGGGTTATGATAGTAATTTAATTCTTATCATCTCTTTTATTTTCTCTCATCTATATTTTCCAAACAAGAATATTATCATTTCCTTTTTTTCTCTCATAATTTACCCAAACATGAATAGAGATTATTGTTATCATTTCTTTTTTTTCTTTTCTAACTAATGTTATACTTTTTTTTTTTTTTTTTTTCTTTTCTTTTCTGTTATGTTTATCCAAACGAAGCCTAAAATAAAAAAATAAAAAAAATAAAATTAGATCTAATCTCATCAGTGTGTACGTATGTATGTATGGTAAGGGTGACAATTTGTATTTGCGGGTCGTAATTGTGTCATGTCAACTTTAGGGTATTATACTAAACAGTTTAACCCGAACACGACCCGTTTAATAATTGTGTCAGGAATTCTCAATACTAACCCGACTTGTTTATTAAACGGGTTATACGTGTAGCCCGTTTAATGACCTATTTACCAAAAAATAAAAAAAATTATATTATTTAAATTATTAATAATACTCAATAAAATAATAAATACTAAAAAAAATATAAGTTTTAATCAACCAAATTACTAAATAGTTTCTAATTTACAAAAGATTAAATTATAAGACACAAGTTTATATAGGAATTTATTGGTCCTAAGCTGCCTTAAGGAATGTTTGCCTGTTTAATGTCAAAAAGTATTGTTTCAATAGCTAGCTTCAAGTATGAACTCTATCTGTATTGTGTTTTGAAATAAGGTCCAGGGGTAGTATTGTCATTTACTACTTTGTAACACATTTTATTCACTGGTCTGTAATAGTGCATTACAATGTATCAGCTGTTTTGGCTGAAATCACTGTGACAGTGGAGTCTAGTACTTCAAATTTAGTTACAGGTGCTCACAGGGGTACTATGGTCTTTTCTCAGTTGTATTCCGTGGATATACGTTCGCTTTGATAGCTTCATTGCACTGAACAGCCTTGATTGAGCCTACATTGTGAATTATATATTCTTAGGACTATTTGTTGGCTGAGAAGGGTATAAATTGTTACAAGGGTATTTTGGTCATTTCTATTTGTATTCAAGAGTGTGACACGTCTCAGTGGTCTTAGAGAGATAGTATATATTGCATTTCTTGGAGGCTAAGTCTGGATAAAAATGCAATTGCAGTTTATAACCTGGAACTTGTTGTAGTTGGTGAGAATAGAGACAAAATAGCTGAGGTGGCAGGCCTAAATTGGTTCATTGCCTTGAAAATATCTGAATTATTCTCTCTCAAGGATTGGTAGAAGGTGACAGGTGTATGCTCTAGCTATGAGCACACAAAAGGGGTTTTGTGTGCTGTATGGTTATATATATATGCTGTGATAAGGTTTATTAAGGTTTAAGCCTTGAGCTGCAGCTGAGAACCCTCGAGCACCCAATGAAAACCAAGTTTTTCTCTCTG